CTAAGATGCAGACAGCAATAAGGCATTTTTGGAATGTTTTCTATTATTCATCAGACGCGGCGGCGACCATCATTGGACGCTTTAAAGTGCCTGAGTTACAACTCCTTCTGTGTCCTTCCTCCATGATCTAGTACATCTACTGTACATGTACATATTCTTTACAATTTGACATCAGCTTTGTTTTCAGAGCTGTAGTGTGCATAAGAATTTTTGCAGCTTACCTCCTGCCAGGCAGCCACGTGCCACTAATCTCCCAAGAGCGGTTAAGCCGATAATCCAGGGTTTTACGATGACACTCGATTCACAGCAGACTAATCGTCTCTGAGCCGCACGATAAACACCTGTTAATTTATACGATACAATGGCGCACATGCGCACGCAGTCTGCCCGTGGCGGCCGGCGCGGCGCTGGGCACGTGCCCAGGGGTGGTGGTAAGTGACTGCTGATATGTATAGTAACATGAATAACCGGTAACCTGTTGAGCGTATTTTATGTACACGGGGAAAATGTTTGTACACAACATGCCCGGGAATTTAGGCGGATTTTTTATTGATTTATTTCTTGTGAAAGCACGTCCAACGCGTAGGGCCGGGGAAGCTTCCACGGGGCAAGGAATTAGTTTTGAGAAAGTATTCCCGCGGTCCGACATCCGGGTGCTTTGCACGGTCCAAAACGTCATTTGCTTGATACGGAGCTCCTTTGAGGACGATTTTTTGTTTTTTGTTTGGTTCCCTGAACTTATTAATCCCCTCAAACTATCATTGCATTCACTTGGAAGACTTGTTTTGTGCCCTCAATTACAATTTTCTTTTACCTTGAAGTTATCATAAGGAATTTCAGAGTGACCAGTGAGGTACCTTGCTTGACGCGTACGCACGGTACGGCTGTCATGTACATGCAGGACGGATGCATCTACACGTAAATAGTGCAGTGGGCCAGTTCGCGCACGAGTCTACGACTACGATCGAGGTCAGAGCTCAGAGCGGGCATGCATGATGTACCTAGGAAGACTGCAAATTTCTCATTGATGTAATGATATTCCAGATTGCTGTGTTGTTCACTGTGGGTCTGGGTCTTTACTGGATAGTCAGACGGAATCCGAAAATTCTTAAAAGAATGTTTAAGCCCGGGAGCCCACTTTTCGCCCTGGGGTGAGTGTTAACGTGAGTACAGTTTGTATAAAAAATGTATTGACCAGTTCCGGTATGTCTGACTTGAGCAAAGACATGGCTTACAGCCTACGAGTACAGACTGGATGTAGCAAGGGCCAGTCTGGTAGTAGTAGTACTGGACTGCCTCCGTATCCTTTGCCTCACAACGGCTCATCTAAAAAGTGTAGACTCGGCGAAAACGCCTTCGAGTAGTAAAGTACATGCAGGCCAACCCAATTTGGCGTGTAGGGCCTATGTGTGTATGTTATGGCCATGATGGGGATGGTAAGAAGGCTCATAAATGTTTCAACTGTTTTCTTTTTGAAGTGATCTTGGAGAGGATGTCATAAGAAACATTTTGATATATGTTTGGATTCCATCGGTGCCTGCAAAGCAAAGAAATACTGATTTAAAGTGGGGATATGTACTTATTCAATGATTCGCCACAAGTGGTATTTGACTGGACAGGGAATTCACACGTACACAAGGCTTCATTATTGGTGATATAAAGTCGTTGATAAAACAGCAGTTGGGATCACTGTCTTTAACGATGTTTGGTTCTTAGACCAAACAGATCCCGACTGTGTTTGATCGAGAGTTAATCGCTGTAGTAAACAAAAGTATACATGTAGAAACCATATTTTCACAGTCACTGAAAATAAAGGTTAACTTGCCTGATGGGCTAAGCTGAAAGCTTAAGGTGGAGGCCTATTAAACTTGTTGTTAGGATGTTATACTTTTATATCTTATGTAATAAATTTGACCATTAAGAAGAAATAACTGTTACCATCAGTGAGTCTTCAAGATGCATGGTGCCAGCAAATCCCCCAAGTAAAATGCAAGGGCTTTGGTTCATGACCCGCCCTGTCTGTTTTGGAGGCTTTATTTTATTTTTGGGTTTTATTAAAAGTTGCTTAACCATCCTTCAACGTTTTAAATTGAACCCTGCTGTAACTTGGAGGGCAGTTCACGTTTATTTTTTTATTCAAATTTTTAAAGGGATTAATAGGGGATTCAAATTCACAACGGCAATGTTACCATGAAACCAGCTGAAGATTCATCACAGTTAAAGGCCCCCCGAAATAGCCAATGCACTTGTGCAGTTGTCCTGCCCAAAAAGACACAAAAGCACATTGGTACCAGTTCATGTTAAAAAGTCCACTGCCAAAACTGGCTGTAAGGAAACTCCACCAACAAAACAAAAATGCTAGAGTACATGTATTTTATTTATTGAGCACTGTCATTTCTGCCATACCACATTTTGTTATCACCTTTCTGTTTTGCATCTGTCAGATACCAGCTGTATTCCAAGACTAGTGTGGGACATCATCTCCATCAGAAAGATCTACGAAAAGCCAGACAGCAGTTTCCTGAGGGTCACTCTGTGGTGGAAGTCACTGACTTAAACGGTTATCATTTAAATTCTTTATTTCCTTAAAATATACAATTAAAACTTGTTGGCATGGCTTATGTTGTCAACCTGTGATCCTCTGAATTTCTTGACTCGGTTAGATGATTTATTCCTAATTTTCCTAATTCCTTTATTTCAAAATTCAGGCCTGAGTGGTAAAACTTCATTAAATTTAACATGAAGAAGAAAGCACTGAAGTGTCCATTCTGTGTGCTTTATTAAGGATAGCCATTTAAGTGTTTCCTTGTTTGTATTTTAGTTTCCATGAGTTATTTAAATAATTAGCTAAATTTTCCCCCTTTGGTTTTTCAAGTAATTTTTCCTAAAGGTTCAGTATTTCTGCTCTTCAGGTATTAGGATCAGGCCGATTCCGTTCTTGCAAGACAACTATGCATATCTGGTGATTGATAAGGCCACAAGCACAGCAGTGGTCATTGACCCAGGAGATCCTGAAATTGTACAGGTGAGAGTTAACTGGTCTTAACTGCCGGCTATAAGTGAAGGATATTTGTACAGGTGAGGGCTAACTTGTCTTAACCACCAGCTATAAGTGAAGGATATTTGTACAGGTGAGGGTTAACTGGTCTTAATTAGCCGGCTATAAGTGAAGGATATTTGTACAGGTGAGACTTAACTGGTCTTAACCGCCGGCTACAAGTGAAGGATATTTGTACAGGTGAGGGTTAACTGGTCTTAACCGCCAGCTGTAGACAAATCCGATGACCAAAATTAGGCATTACTACGGGGCCATCCTGTTCGCACACAGGTGGTGCGTGCACGTGAAATTCCTCCTTGACCAATAGGCAGTAGTCAATTGCCAAAGCGTGCGTGCTCCGTCAGGTTGAGACAGCTACATGAGTGTAAATAGCCCTTTGGAATGGCATCTCATGGGATTTGTCTGAAGTGTAGGGTCTAAAAATTACTCCTTCAATTTGCTTCGTAGTTTAAAGTTGTGGAGGCGTATAGCCTGTTGGTTACAGTTGGAGATTTCTTAACATACATGACATAAGGTCTGGGGTTCAAATTCGGCTGCTGGTTAGATGTTTTGGACAAGTCTCTTTACTAGGTACTTCACTTGCCTCTCCTCCTAAGAGTGAAAATGGGTGCCAGTTAGGGCAGAGATGGTTGTTGCATTTAATTAGCTGTTTGTGTCAGCAATGGCAGCATTGAGCTCTATACTCCCCAGGGATCAGAGGATAGTTTAGGAATGTTTATTGGCTTGGTGAGCAGGGATAATAATTTGTTTATTGGCTTGGTGAGCAGGGATAATAAATTGTTTATTGGCCCAGTGAGCAGGGATAATAATTTGTAACAGCACCTTTATGGGTTCCCAGATAAGTGTTTATAAGTCGATACCATTATTTGTACAAATTTAATTCTGTTTTGCTCTTTTCCGATGTTTCTGTAATTTTTGTTTAGTATTGGATAGAAGAAGAAAATGTGTCTCTGACAGCGATATTCACGACACATAAACACTGGTGAGTGAAATAAATGTACATTCACAGCCCAACATTCCAATCAGTTTGGAAGCAATTTCTTTTTAACCAGTTAACGTTGGATTTCCGTACCCCAAAACAAGCTGCTGGGGGCGGGTTTCTTACCTGTAAAGTCTTCAACCTTGCAATTGTGCTTTGACCCAACCAAAAGTGATGCGTTACTATGTCAACCAAGGAAATGAAAAAGAATTTTTAAATGAGTGCACACGTCCCTGAAACAAAGAAGAAAATTATGTGTTGTGTGTTTACACATCATCTGGCATCTAGTGGTTGAAAGTTTAATCCTTCTAGATTTATAACTCAGCAGAGAATTGTTTGGCCCTGGGTATGCTTTTGTTCATCTATCATTTTGAGTTTGGTTTTCAACCCTTTGAATACAGGGATCACTCGGGTGGAAACAAAGTGCTGAGGAAGCTGTACAAGAAGATAGCTGTGTATGGTAGCTCTACTGACTCAGTACCCGGCCTTACTCAGTAAGTGGATACAAGACGTCTAAGGCAGCGTTCCAGCGATGGACACCCCATGATTTTTTTTATACTTTTAGTTTTGGAACTCACTGATGATAGCATTTATTCCTGTGGTACAGCTCACAGTGTTCGCCATTTCAATCACCTCTATTGCAGGGTCTTGTATATATTTGGCTTAAGAGTGTGTTTATGGCTGCGTTGACCTTGCTTCAAGGAATTGACACTTTTAAGGAAATTCATTGTAAAAATGTTTGGAGGGTAATTTTAGCTTGATGCTTTCGACCAATGAACCTGATTTTGTGTCTTATGTGTGGGGCCCAGGTAAACCTTGTATACTGGATTGCTCAATGCTTCTCTGCAGCCATGTTGTAGATGGTGATAGCATAGAGATTGGTGGTCTGAGGTTCACAACCCTTTTCACTCCTGGACACACCGTGGGTCATACAGCGTTCCTACTGCATAGTCCTGGTGGTGATATCCCTGACTGTGTCTTCACAGGAGACCTGCTGTTCCTTGGGGGATGTGGTAAGTGTTGGCTCTGTGTGTTAAGAAGAATAAGGTTTCACCCCCTCATTGGTTAAAAAGAGCAATGTTCATCGGGAGTGTTTCATATTTGTTTGTAGCAACGCGACAGCAAAGGAACTTCCAATGCCAGGAAAATTGCGCCCTCTCTTGGTTAAACTTGGGGCTCATAGGAATAGGTTAGATTAAGCATGCAAATGACAAAAATTGCACCTACTGATAATTCTTTCCTTATTTCCAGGGCGATTGTTTGAGGGTAGTGCCTCTACCATGCTGGAAAGTCTGGATAAGATTTGTAATTTGTCTGAGGGAACAATAGTCTGGCCTGGTATGCTTTCCTTTTCTTTTCAAAAAACTCTACCCACATGTAACTCAAAGAGAAAATTTTGAAGCTCCTTGCAAAGTTTGGATTAATCCTATAATTATATATGATTAATACATGTTATTGATTGCCCCCCTTTTAATTTACAATGTCTTGTCTGGCTTGTTTTTCAGGTCATGAATATGCAAAGGATAACTTGGACTTTGCTCATTTCTTGGAACCAAACAATCCTGACATCTCGGTAAACACACCAGACTTTCAGTACCTAAAAGAAAACGTATGAAATAGGAAATGCTGAATACTAACGTTTGTTGGGTGTCCCAGCTTTCATAAGCTGCACTCAGACCCATATGGCTCAAACTGCTGAATATGCAGCATTGTGGATTAAATAATTTTGTAATAAGCATTGAGGGGCATTTATAAATTGAGTGTCTTGACTCTTAGGGTTGAATCATTGTCTTATAGACAAATGTTTGTTAATCTTCCCTCAGCTCATATAATGTAATCACAGTTCACAGAAAACATGAGGTGAAGAGTTTAGCATTTATAATCCTGAATTATTAACATTAATAGGCTAGAATGTATTAGCATCAAACCTGTCTCTTTTTTGTGTCCATCCCAGTTTTATTTTTCTCTTGCCTTCTGTTTTCAATGTTTGTCGCCTTTTTTACAGAAAAAGTTTGAGTGGGTGAAGGAGAGAAGAAAGGAAAAACTGATAACGGTTAGTTTGGAATGATCAGATGAGGGATATTTTGCTCACTTTGGAAACCTAACAGTGAATCAACAGAGTTGTTTACGGCACACACTTGAGATTTGGTGACAGTAGATAAAGGCTAAGGGGGATAAAAGTCAAAATAACTACTTCCATCATAAATCCAGGTAGATCTGATAAGCCTGAAAATCAGGGGTAGCAGTATTCCAAAGAGGGACAAGGACCTGCATTTGAATCGAAATTCTGTTTCCTTTTAGTTTTTTTGACAGAGTCTCAATCTGTTTACAATCTGATCTGTGACAGAGTCCGTCCTCTGTAGCCGAAGAGAGGACCTATAATGCATTTCTGAGGACATCATCTCCTTCTTTGCTACAAGTTCTTGGGATGGAAGACATGGCGAGTGCCGGTGTGGTGGAAAATAGGGAGAAAATACTCCTGGAGCTACGCAAAAGAAAAGACAAATATTACTATAAGCTGTAGTGGCTTTCTTTTTGTGGAAGTTTAGTATTCGCTGATTTCACATATGACACCCAAATTGTCATTGTTTTTGGAGGACTGTTCAAGACTTGAAACACAAGCTAGGAATTTAGGGTACATGATTCTTCAATATTCAAGAGGTATCATCGGTTCAGTCAATTTCTTTGTGCACAGACTATGTGTATTCTGTGAAGTGGTGCATTGTAGAAATCCATTTAAGAAATCAAAGTTAAATGTAGGATAAAAATGTAGTAATGAGCTTCCACATTTCAAAGGCGCACAAAGATTTGTTTTTGAAAAAGACGTTTTAATGCACATTTTGTAAGTGGATTAAACTTCATTACATTGATATTTATATGGGCCATTGGCTGAAACTAGCTGAACATGCATGCAGCGACAGCAGAATGATTTTCAAAGTGGGGGGGGGGCAGCTGTTGGACCATCAGGCATCAGCCATTAGTAGACCAATCCATTAAGCCCCTCCCAATCATAAGCCCAAGCTGTAAAAATTGGTGGCCCCACTGGCCCCTCTGCCCCCCTCCCCTGCCAGTGAATACCTGTACATGTAGTTTTACAGTTGCCAGTGTTCATTTCATTTCGTTACTGTTTTCAAACTCATCTAGTTCCAAAATTGTGCTCTAAGGCTGAAGATGTAACAAGCAAATCTCTTTTGGTGGAGGATTCATTTATATTACCTTTAAAATTGATTCTACTTATATTTAAATGAGCAGTGATTGTAAGACTGTATCACCATGGGCTGAAATCTTGACACTTCACACTGTGTCATTTCTATCTTTAAATGAGTTTGGGTAATTCCAGAAGTTAGGGGTCCAAAAGTGTGACGTTTTTGTGTCCCTGTTACGTCTGACCTTTGTTATTTGACAAATATTCCCGGAATTAATGTCAAACTATTACTATTTGTTTGGCAAGGAATTTGCATTAAAACATCTCTCTTGCAAATTAGAAAATGTATTCTGAATTCACAAAATCTTTTGTCAGATGTGACAAGGACATGAAGAAAACCCGAATTTCTGTAATTACCATTCAAAAATAAAGTAGTGTACTTCGAGCACACACTGTACCATGTTTAGTCAACCCTGTAGATAAATAAAAGTGTCATTTGTATGATGTATGTTAGATGTGTTTTAAGACATACTGTTTGTTTTGTCAAGTGTTTTCCCTGTATCAAGATTGTGTTGGTTTAGGGGTGTAAGAATGGAGGTGTACATGTTAGGGGGGGCAGAATAGGTGGATGAATCAGAGGATAGACGGCAGAGATGAGCTAGATGAAGGCGACAGGACGGAAGGAATTCAAACTTTCACAAGGTTCACAAAAGTATAAAAATAAAGGACTTTTAATTCTTCTCAGGTAGGATGTGTTTTGCAAAAGTACGTTGATAAAATTGGATAATTTTTAATCCATGCTGTAAAGGAAGGAGCGGGAATTACGTTGGCGCCCTGCCGTCCATTGAATTGGGCATGATGATTTTGGGAAGTACCAGTGTAATTTACCATTCATGATGGCGGAAGGTGGGACTCGCTCGGAAGCATATACTAGCGCTGCTGGCGGTCCTACGTCTCCCCAGCCGGCAGTATCAGGACCATGGCCGAATAGCAAGGATGCCTACGTCCTAGGAGATGTCTTGGGTAAATTTATGATCCAAATGCCTTGTGTTTTAAAGCTCATTTAGTAGATGATGTTATAATTGGCGATTTCCTTCAAATGCATATCATACATGTGTTTGCATATGGAGTTTGATCAGTCTGGCACCTGCTCTTGCTGATACGACAAAGAGCCTCAAGGATCTGGGTCTGAGACTAATTAGGCTAGAATGGGAAAATATTCTCAGTTGGCCCTGTATGACTGTGTATTGGGAATTGGAAACGATTTCAGCCCACATTTCCCATGAAATGTAATACAACTTTCTCTTGAAAGTTAGAAATACAGATTTTATCGCTGAGTATCAATAACTTGTCTGCGAGAAAAAATGTTGCATCCTGACTCCACTTTTCTCATATACATGTATCATCTCAATAAAAGTCAGTCATCACGGAAATGCTGGAAAGACATGAATTCTGGACTGAGAAACATTTACCGATGTTGGGAAATACTTAGAAAATTCTCTTCACTCCCCATAGACTTTGTACAACTGCGTAAGTGGAGTCAGGATGCAACATTTTTCCCTTGTCTGCTGCTGCCTAGCAGATGGCTTAACCTAACGGATGTATTTAAAGCAAGCAGTGCCTGTGTTTATGTTTGGCGCAATTAGCCGATCTACATGATGGCCTGATTGGTCTGTGTGATTGGTCAATCCTGTATGAAATTTTTAACTTTATGTGCCATTTTTAAAACAGTCTTTCAAAACCATGAATTAGAAAGAAAAGGCAATTGGTGGCAATAAGATTGACCAATTAGATCAAACAACTGTGCTCATTGACTGATCGCACCCAATGATTTCCAATGACATGTGAATGTGAGTGTTTAAATGGTTCCTGAACTTCAACTCTCTGCTGGGCGCAGTACAGAATTAGCATGAGAAACACGACATACACGTATGAGGGTAACCTGCAACTCAATTAGGCTTGTCAGGGGACTACAATAGGCCTACCTGACAGTTTTTGTGGCTGTCATGGCAGCATTACTATTAGTATTAGGCATGATCAGTTGCTTTCTGTCATGAGATCACCCAATTTAGGATGAAATCTCCAACTTCATTAACCTTTCCAAACTAACCCGCAATATTCTACATGAGAAAAAGATGGTGGTAGTACCTAGTGGGATAGACAGATTTTGTACGGGATCAACTGATACATTAACGTGAATGTTATAACTATGCAGGGCATGGTGCTACTGCCCTGGTTCAAAAGGCATACTGTACACCTAGGAAGGAACAATGCGCCGTCAAGAGAATCAACTTAGAAAAATGTGACACTACCATGGAAGAACTCACGGTAAGTTTGGACCTGTGTATCTGCTTTGGATTCTTTATTTGTAAACTGTAAGAACCAAGAGATATTGTATGGAACCAAGTTTGTTTAATTGCACTGTTAATCAGTGAATGTTGTAGTCTCACTGTTTATTATTTTCCTCTTCAAATTTGTTAAAACCAGTGTTTTCTTACAACTGTTGCAGAAAGAAATTCAGTCTATGGGTCAGTGCAAACATGAGAATATTGTGAGTTACTACACATCGTTTGTTGTGAAAGATGAACTATGGCTTGTTATGAAGCTTCTTGCTGCAGGTAAATTTGACCTGTTTGTTATCTTTCTTTTATTCCAAAAGTCTTCATTCTCTTTAAATGAATACAAATATAACCTTAAATAGTGTAGGTTTGTTTCTAGCGTTACTGGGTTCTTTTTGCTTTGTTATAATGATCCTTTTTTCTTTTGCATTTATTTTTAGGATCAGTCCTTGACATTATGAAGCACATCAAGAAAAACTCCCCCGACAAAGTTTGCCGTTTGGATGAGGTTGTGATTGCAACAATTTTGAGAGAAACATTGAAGGGCCTAGAATATCTTCATGAAAATGGACAAATTCACAGGTAAAAAACCATACTTTTTCTTAAGTGTCTTGTATTTCTTGCTATAAAATCAGTTTTCTGAAACACCTGCTAGTCACCAGTAACATTACTGAAGTTGATGGATGGCTTAGACTATTTCAACATATAATCAGTTTGAAAGACAAAGTTTTGGTGGAAGTTGTAATTCATGGACTTGTCAACTGGAACAATGGACTGTTAAGTTTTTTCAAGGATTGCGGTCATTGCATGGCAGTCAAGATAACACACAATCCCACTAACAATGACTTACTAGTTTAGATAAATTTCTCTCTTCATTGGGAACTGTTTTCTGTATTTTTTTACATTTCTTTCATCCACTTACTGACAGGTCCTGTCTTGATTTCACTAGTACAGATATTTTGGCTTTGAATCATTTCTTTTCTTTGTGACAGAGACGTCAAAGCAGGTAACATTCTTCTCAGTGATACTGGTATAGTTCAGCTTGCTGATTTCGGTGTCAGTTCGTGGATTGCAATGGGTGGTGACCTGTCCAGGGCTAAAGTGCGTAACACATTCGTCGGAACACCATGCTGGATGGCTCCTGAAGTTATGGAGCAGGTACTGAGCTTAAATCTTGAGCCATCTCATTGGCTTACTTTTTGTGGGAAGTTCAAGAGATCTTGTTTTCAAGTTCAAACAGGAAAGATCTCCTTATACTGGGATATATTTTTGTGATTACAGATTCGTGGCTACAATTGCAAAGCAGACATCTGGAGTTTTGGAATCACAGCAATTGAGCTTGCCACTGGGACCCCACCATATGCCAAGTACCCACCAATGAAGGTGAGAAGATTAACCTAGATGTTTGTTGGGTGAGGCATCTTTGAATAGAATTGGAAGGAATGTTCTTATCTCAGCAGTTTGAAGTTGTAACGTGGCTTGATTTGGTTTTCATTTGGAGATGTAGACTTTCCCACATTGTTATGTTTCTGCAGATTTTCTCATTCAGATTGATCCAGAGCTGAAGATGGTGTGATAAGATGTTGCCATTCATGTCTTCAGTCTATACTGACCCTGGTTCCAATCCAACCCAGTCCATGACATAGTTTGATTGTCAGTCTCTAGTGCACTGCCTGGTTTTCCCCAAACCAAATTTGGGAATTTTTCTTCTACATGAAAGACTTTTCTTTGCCACTGTCCACTTATATATCAAGTAATTTTAGTGCAAGCTGGAAAAAATAAGAAATGAATGGTTATAATAATTCTTGTTACTTTTTTAATTACTGGAAAGGTTTTGATGATGACTCTTCAGAACGATCCACCTTCCCTGGAAACAGCGATGACCAACAAAGAAGATGTAAAAAAATACAGCAAGGAGTTTCGGAAGATGATCTCAAAATGCTTGCAGAAAGATCCTGAGAAAAGGTAGTCCACACAGAGAAGAAAAAGTAGGATTTAACCCATCCGAGCATAGGTCCACCGTAGGAATATTGAGGAAAGTAATCACAGCAACAGTTTGCATAAATCATTTGTTCCCTTAAATATTAATTGAGTGTGCAGCTTCAATACTCAGAGCAAAGTGAGTGCCCTCTAGTGATGGGCTCAGCACATTGGAGGGCCACGGTTACATTTTCCAGGACCCATTGAAATCTAAATATCCACAAATTAAGCTTGTAATATTCCTTTTGCCAGTTTTTGTTTTTTTTGCTAAAGAGAGGCACAAGGGCAAAGGAATTAATTTTGAGGAAATTTCGCATATTTGAAATTAGTTCCATCATGCTTGATATGGGACCAGTGTATGTTACACCTCAGCAGCTGATGAGGACAATCAGGGAATTTGTCTTGTCTCCAGGCCAGATGCTTCTGAACTTCTCAAGAGTCCATTCTTTAAGAAGGCAAGAGAGTGTACGTACCTTCATGAAAAACTGTTGGGGGTGGCACCAACTTTAGAGGATCGTGGAGAGAAGGTATGTCTTATAAGTTGATCGGGAACGTTTGTTTCTTTTTCTGAACCATGCCTTTAATCATACCAGAGGGCACTGTGATCAAAGCTGTTTTGTGATTGGACATTGACAAAATTAATGTATTGAAATCATTTCCATAACTTTCCTCGTGAAATGCTCTTATGCACATGATTGCACCTTGTGGTCAAATTGACATCCCGTTTACACTTTGTGTAAAACTGTACATCTACCTCTATCATGTGGACATCAGCCTTGTGTAATATCATCATATTTCTGCAGGTGACGCGGGTGCCTGGATCCAGTGGTCGTCTGCACCGTACTGCAGATGGATGGGAATGGTCAGATGACGAGTTGGATGAGAACAGTGAAGAAGGCCGAAGAGCAAGTATTGGACGATCACCTCGCATCGCCATGGATATGAAGATGAAGCTGGCTAATCAGATGGCTGGGATATCTGGGGTAATAGTGAGGTCTCTTGTCAGATCGACCAATGAAATCTGTTTTTATAAAATGATGAGTCACATTAATCCTAACCCCAGCCTACTTTGGCTAGAAACCCTGCCAGATGCATCAAACTGCATTGTTCTTCAAAGTGGCTTGCCTGTTCAGTGTAACAAGATCCAAAAGGTCAACTCTCCCCAAGTCCAAACGGCCTGGGAGTCTGTGGTTGCCAGTCACCACCAGATCTAACAGATCAACTGTCCCCAAGCCGTTTGGTCTTGTGGTGACTGGCAACCACAGACTCCCAGGCCGTTTGGCCTGGGAGTCTATGGTTGCCAGTCACCACAAGATGCAACAATGGCATTCTTCCATGGGATTAGCTCCCATTGTCTCAACACGGCTAGTTAGTTCAAGTGCATCAAAGTGCATCAAACCTCTTCACCTGATGCCCTGTGGTGTGTCTGGCAGGGTTATGGTTAATGGAGTTCATGGCCTCTAACTTTCCCTTCCCCAGACGTTGTCATATTGCACAACTGTTATTTTATGGATAATTTCCTGCATTGAACACCAGTGCAATATTGTGGAGATCTCAGGATCAAACCCTCTGTTAACCCAAATTTTTTTAAACAGATGAGTAACAGGATGCAAATCCCTGCTGCTGTTTAGTGAGAGCTGATCAAGAGGATTAGGGTTTTGTGAATGATTGACCCTCTTGGTGGTTATGTGGAGGGGGGTTGGGATTACAAGCCTTCCAGTTGGAGGATTAGATTCAGTGTAGTGTTACAACTGATTTGCAATGCTGGGAGATTTGAGAGGGCCAGTAGCAGATTGAAGACCTCAGTGAATGATTGATGCCTTCCTAGCCAGTGTTTTTTTATGGAGAAATTGACCTATCTTGCCGCTTTCCAGCCAAAGGTAAAGACAGCTGCAGAGCCACAGGTTGTTAAATCCAAGGAGATATCTCCACCAGCAGCAACAGGTGCAGCAGCAGGTGCAGCAGCAGGTGCAGCAGCAACAGAAGGTGGTGCTGAACCTGGGCCAACACTACACATGGTCCTCAGGTTAAGGTTAGTCAGGAATTGTAATTAATTTACCCGTGATTTTTTCTGTTCAGAAAACATCACAAACACGCTAATATCTCTTGCCTTTTTATGGACTTTTTTATTTTACTGGTCTCCGAGGCAAATTCCATTCTAATCTGATATTTCATTTGTTCTTTTTCCCACTTTCTACTGGACATTTTCAAGCTCTAGTCATTGGAATGAATTATTCTACCTTATTCAGTAAATTACCATTCTGTAATGTTAATTGCCAGATTGTATTTCGTCAGTCCTTCTAACCCTCAGTTTTTCTTTGTTTTCAGGAATGCTGAGCAAGAGCTGAATGATATCCGCTTTGATTACACTGTCAACAAAGACAATGCTGACAATTTAGCTCATGAACTGGTCACTGCTGGTCTAGTGGACCTCAAAGATCTTGTCGTTGGTAATATGAACTCTCCACTAAATTTCAAGATTCATAATGCATTTAAGCTTTGTATCTCTTTCAGAAATATACTGTTAATATGGTTTTTTTTAATCTTAAGGAAGGTGTTTTTTCAAATGGAAATTTGATTTCAGAACTTTTTCCTCCTCTGTCAACATTTTGCTAGTATAGAAAAGCAATAAATATCTGTTTTCAGATTTTGAACTGCATACAAGTTGCAAAAATGTTCTTATTTTTACAGTTGCAGCTAATCTTCAGAAGACAGTGGATAATCCAGAAAATAAAAGTGTCTTGTTCAAACTGGTAAGTCCCTCCCCAGCTTTGCTTCAGAAAGGGGCAGAGGATAAGTCTTTAGACTGTGTTCTTGTCATAATTTGCACCTGTTGTTCATCATTTTTAATGGCCTGTATCAGACAGTAAAGAACTGCGTCCATTCTTGAGACTTTTTAGGATCCAGATTCAACATCATGTGTTTGTCTTGTCCTTTTGTTATACGCAGCATTCTGGCGCTAGTCCAGGTGATGAGGAGCATCTGGTAGGATTTGCCAAATTAACCATCAGCTAGGACTAACAAGAAATCTCCCAATCGGTAATCTGTGTGTGATCCAATCCTTTGCTTCATTGCCTCATTTTGATGCAAAAACCTAAACGGAAGATCCAGTAGTTTCTTAATTGCAGGTCAGTGATTTTTTCCTGAACGAGTTCTGTGAACACTGATGATGAACACGTAAATGAGCACAGAAATACAGAGCAAGTGTTTTGTTTTCGGTCGCTTTCAATTTGGGGGTAAAATTGCTCTTTGGGTAGTTTGGAAGGAATTTATGAAAGTGAAGAATGGAAGTACTGTAAACCCTTGGAAGCAGTTCTCATATCACTCTGCAGCAGATGGAAACAAACTCACTCTGGATTTGTTTATGAACTGCAGAGAGAGTAATATGGTGTAGTCCCCTAAACTGTGTGTACACTAAGGCAACATCTCTATGATGTTATTTTCCATTATCACCATTGATGAGAGACGGATGCTTGAGATCCATTGATTGGTGTTCAGCCTGTAAGACTTTGGTAAGGTCCTTGAAATGCTTCTGGAGTTTATTCAGGCTACTTTAAAATCAAGGTGTAATGTCGTGCCATTATTGTGCAGAATTGATGGTTATTGTAGATAATGGCGTATAGCAGCCCAGTTACATGGTTGCCCCCTCAAAGATATTAAGCCATAGAACGTGCCAGCCGCTAACAGTTGTTATGTACTGGTATGAAGCTACCACCTGCTAACTTGTTCAATAATAGATGTAATTAAATGTAAAGCTTATATCATTGGTGTATTCATGATTTAAAATCTGGATCCAAGATATCTTTATTAGTTGCCGATGTCCTGGATTGTAAAGCAAATTTACAATTACATCCAGCCTTTAGATGCTGCGAAATGTCACAATCTAAGAACAGAACTCGCAGAATCCATGACCGAGAACAAAGGCCTCTGTATCAACTCAGATCAAATAAGATTCCTAGCCCTAGTTTTAATTTTCAGTAGGGGGGTATTCTCTTTAACATTTTTCAGGTTTTAACAATGTCATGACACAGGGAAATTATGTATTAAAGCATGAAAGAATGCACTTGATGAGAACGGAAGTTTCGTTTAGAGGAAATATTGGATTGCCGACTGGAATCAAAGACTATTAGGCTGTCAGGCAGATAGGGAAACCGTTGCGTAGTCATAGGTTATGTTTTATTCTCTTTGTTTTATGGGGCTTATCAAAAAGTTAAATCTTTTATTTACCACAGACAGTATGAAGCCACCATTTAAAGGTGACCTTTAGGGGATGTTGGAGTTTTTTGTCTTTGAAAATACAGTTGAAAAAATGAAACTTAAATATAAAGATAATTAAAGTTTAGAAATAGAGCTTTAAACTTTTCCTCTTTCATTTTCTGGTATTTTTCGTGTAGTTTTAATCTTCCCTGGTAAATATCAAGGATATGCTGATACATGTACATTGTGACAAGCAAATGGAATGTACATAAAATGATTAGCATTAATGTTGAGGTGCATAAAAGAAAGAAATTGAAATATTCATTTATAGAAATGTTTATTACTTTGACGTATAGTTAAGTATGTGCTATGTCTATTCAACAATTGTTTTTATAAATTTATTTTATAGTTTGCTATGAACAATTTGAATTCTCCTTTGAAAAAAGGAATGTTAATTCAAAGTAATGATTTCACAAGGAGCATAATTTTTTACCATTTTGTGTATTTTTGCTGAAGATAGGTTTTAGTTTTTGCGGGAGAGGGATTAGTGGTAATGTTTTTTCCATGTTCCTGTAGTCGAAATCAACTTGCAGTACAAAACCTTCAAGTGCGTGGATTGTGAATATCTCTGTCAAAGCTGAATTTACTTGAATCAATGAGTCTAGTCCCGCGAGTCTAGAAATTTTATCAAAGTAGTCCTTTTAACTTCGAAATATTGCATACAGGTGTCAGATATGAGTGAAATGCTTATTGGAGTATGCTGGAGTTGTATCTAAAATGTTATTGTAAAGACTTATTCAACCAAGCGCCATTTACAGTGACATCATGTTTAATTCGCGCGCGTTCTTAGACTTAAGGTGGATTTAGGATGTTACAATATCTTATTGTTCGAAGGGGTGTGTGAGTGTCTGTTTCGAATTTCAGTGGAGACATGGAGTTTCTGAGTTAGGGAAATACTCTATGCCATTTCTTGATTATTATCACGATATATTTTGTTCTCAGGGATTCTTCTTGCCTAAGAATCACTTGAATAACGAAGTTTTATTGTGCCACAAGGGTGCGATTTTTCCCTCGCCAAACACGACTTCTTTTTGTTAGCGTGACTGCAACTGGTATATTAAATTTTTGAAAGCAGGTTTTGTGAAAGAGTCATGTTTTTCTAGTATCGGTGAGGCTTTCTTTTCTGAAGCAAGATGCATGATTAAAATAAGTATAGGTCAGTGGCAATGTTGGAGAAAGAAAATCGAGCTCTGTTGCCTGGAACAAGAATAAAAATAAACATTTCATGACAGATCAGAAAATTTCGTAAATGAACAGTGCGTATTAGCAGTTTAGTTGTGTACTTGACATTGAACATGACCATTTGCAGTGTGATTATTATCTCGATAATTTGCCGTGTTCTGACTTTTTTATGTTCAAGAATACATTGATATCAACTTAGTCAATACGCGGAGCACATTGTAACCCCACTGATGAGGTTGTGTATTTGTTTTTCTCAATTTCGGCTGTGAACCTTGTGTGACTTCTATTGACCTTAAAGCTAGCGAAGTTTAGATTTGATATGGTCCGTTATTTTTGTCTCGTTGCTTTTGTCGAGAAGGAAAAAGTGGCCACCCGGAAGAAGCTGAATGTCGAAATCTGACGACGTCATTTCCCGCCAAACTACAAAATGGAAATGAAAAGGAGCACATACATGTATTGAGAATATTTTATGCAGTAAATTATTACATAATTTGGCAGGTTGATGTTGGCGGGAGTCGTATTTAAGGGATATCTTTCCATGTTTGTGATCTTTAAAAGTGATTTCAAGATATGGATGTATTCAAACCTTCAGTGTCGTGTTTTTTGTCGTGTGTGCCATCGAAGAATGTGATTGGACAATCCAGCACTGAGACACGCCCTTCGAACCTGATCGGGGAAAACACATAACTCCAATAGCAGCACTTTTGAAAGCAAGTTTCACTTATACTTGTTTCCTATTAAGTCAAATTTTCTTGAGAAAAGTGAGTTAGCTTCCAGAACAAGTTGAATTGTTCATCAAATCAGAAGTCTTGTCCTGGAGGGTGTTACTCACCTATACTGTCCAACCAATCGGAAGTCGTGTTTCATACTCGGTAGGAAGAGCTTTATCAGAGCTTCGTTTTCGAGCAGTTCCTTGGGCGTTCCGCCATTTCGTTTCAGGCTCGCAACAAAGTCTTCATCTGTGGCGTCTGCCATCTTCACAAATTCAGCACGATCGCGCCTTCTTTGGTCACCCTGGAGATATGTCGCACATAGTATTTGAATGAAAAACGGGTGAAAGTGACACTCTAAAGGCTGTTAATATAATGAATGTGTCTCATTAGTGACTGTTTCGCTCAGTCTGAAATCTTACGCAGACTGGTGCAGGTTGCATCTACATTCTGTTGAATACATGAGCTCTTCTTGAAAGAAAAGTCAATCGGGAAAAACTTAAATCTTAAATTATAACTCACGTGTGGTGCAAATGTCCCAGACAAAAACATGTGTTTCGGTCTCAAACCATGACGATCTTTGAGATGGCGTGCAACCTCGAAGGCGAGGAGGGCACCAAAACTTAAAAAATAATGGACATGTGCAAAGAATATGTTATTATGAGTTTAAGTTGAATTTTTTTGTTTCCTAAATTCGTTTTCAATGTTAAGTGTTAAAATAACATTTTGACATACAAAAGCCCAGTGTGAAAGCAGTATACATTACACTAGTTCTAACATGCAAGTCTTCAACGAATTCAATTGACAACCTTTGTGTTTTTTTCCCCCTTTTTTTTTTTTTTGGTTGTTTTGTTCTTAGCGAATATTCAGGTTGCTTTATTCAGTTTCCTATGTCAGGTTTACATTGAGGTTATTTTTCCCCCAAATGAACTGGAAAGTCTTTCGAATATAATTTTGGAAATGTAAATTGACAACAGAATAAGGAAGTAAGCACCTGTGTCCGTAAATCCCAAACGGCATTTCTTGTATCTTCGGAAGTAAAGTATCAATGATGTCATCAACCATGGTTGGCCAATCAGGATAAGGAGCATCACTCATGCGCAGTTCCCGACAAGGAAGGCGGACAACACAAACTGAAAATTGGAAGACAACGTCGAAAAAGTTGCGATATTCACTGCTATAACGAACTTGAGGTAATTTTCCAGCAGACATCGTTTCCTTCTCAACGAATTGTCAAAATTAATGTATTTCACCCTAAAAAAACAACCTTGATAAGTTTAGAGAAAAAACATTTTTTGTGAAATTTTGATAAAAATGTCACGCTAGCCCCTTGGCATTTTTATAAATGTTTTCCCAATTTTCACTGCTTTTATCATTGATTTGTTTTGAATCGGGACAAATCAAAAGCTCTAAAATTGTCAAAATCAATCTATTTACCCCAAACAACAATTTTGCAACGTTTGGATAAAATGATTTTTTGTAAAATTTTGGTAAAAATGCAAGGCTATCACCTTGAGATTTTAATTATTTTACCCCAATTTTCACCGATTTCATCATTCATTTTTTTCATCGAAACAATACAAATAAGCTCTAAACTTGTGAAAATTAATGTATTTCTCCCCAAATAAAAAACTTTGAAACGTTAAGATTTTCTTTTTAATTTTGATAAAAATGCAAAGCTATCCCCTTGCCATTTTGATTAATTTTCCCAATTTTCACAAATTTCATCATTGATTTCTTTTGAATGAGAACAAACCAAAATCTCTAAAATTGCCAAAATCAATTTATTTTCCCCAAACAATAATTTTGCAACGTTTGCAGAAAAATCATTTTTTGGTAAGATTTTAGTAAAAAGCAAGGCTAACCCCTTACCATTTTAATCATTTTT